TGAGCGGAGCGAAATGGGAGACGAATGATGTGCTTTAAGTCGGTGGTTTATGGGGGAGACGGTTGGGATTTGTATTTAAAGGGCCGACGCAGGTTGGCCGGAGAAAGGCACTTTGGTGTTTGTAAATAAGGGAGACAGACGCGGCGCCGCCTGCCGCCTCCACCGCCGTTTCCCGCCAAAACACACGTCCTTTAATGCTCCTCCGCGCCATGAGACGCTGCGAGCCAAAGGGCGTCCGGAGTGTGGGCGTAGGGCGTGGTTTGGCCTGGGCACGACGGAGAGCAGGGCCAGAGGACGTCGGAAGTGGGCGTGAGAAGGGGCGTGAGGACGAGCGAGCAGGAGGGCGTGCAGGCATGGAAGCAGGACTGGTTGGGTCGGCGGAGGGAGCGAGCGGCGGAGGCGGTGCGCGGCCGGTTTCCCGCCACGCCGCTCATTCTGGTGGAGGCGGCGGTTGAGATCAGAGTTGGGATGCCAGTGTGAGGACTGCCGTGCTGCAAACATGAGTGACTCGGATCTGGGCTCGAGTGTGAAGCGGCGGTATACCGACCTCTCCCTCGACCTCAACCTCGATCAAGTGACGGCCGACGAGGCATGGAATAATTACGAGAACATCCAGCTGAAATACACTCTGGAGGTGAGATTCGCTCCCGTGGCGTTGCACTTGTCGGCATCTGGCATCGCCGCCCCTCGACGCGAGCGGGCAGGGCGTGGGGCGTCCCTCCTCCTTGGCCTGAGTGGGACGTCGCCAGGGCAGCCTGGTGCTCGAGAGGGCGCAGACAGCGTCCCTCCCTCGAAAACACCCTGCGCCTCCGACATGTTTCGTGACTGCCTGCCCCCAGCGCGCTCGGATTTTCTCCCATTTATCTCCTGTTGGTTTTCGAGTGTTTATTTTGTGTCCGAGTTCCATCAGTGTTGAAAAGCACCATCTCTGGAGGAACCCAAAGCGATGTGAAGTGTGGGATGGGCAGACGGGTCGAAGGGATGTGGCGTCGTGCAGAGGCTGTGCTTTGCCGTTTTTGTTTTTATTTCTCCTTGGTGCTTCCCCGCGGCTGCTCCGGGCCCGATGAGGAGTGTTCATTGGGGCGAATGTGCACGGACGAGGAACTGTGTGCAAGTTGACTTATTTTCATAGTAAAGCATTTTGAGCTTGCTTGGTGTGTGTTTTGACTCATTATTTTGGGAAGAATATTACATTTTTTTCTCCTTTTTTTATAAATATTAGAATAACTATTAATAATTATTGGTAAATTGTTCTGAAATTTTGGGTGCTCTTCCCTCTTCCCATCTCCCTCTTTGGGGTGACCATGAATTTTGCAGCTTTGAGCAGATTCATTGTAGTACTTAAAAAAAAAAAACTGTTATCCTGTTGTAGATGCCGGAGAAAGTAGGATAGCATAATTGGGTAGTAAACGTGTGATTTGTGAAGTGGACAAACCCCCTTGACCGAAGAGAAAGGACTAATGTCATGGAAAAAAAAATATATTTTTGATTTGACAACTGTTAGACACATCATTATGAAATATATTACATGGATATTTGTTCCGAAAAATAGGGAGATGATAATGTATGAGTATAGAGAAAAGAGTGTTAGAGCAGCCATGACAGTCATGACGCTACATCATTGTTGACCAGTCAGATGCGCAGAACTGTATAGCATCTCCTAACATTATTTTAGGCTAGGCAGGTCACCTCATGTCTGACTCTTGTATGAACTGAGGGCCTAGGGGATAAATCCTCAGGACTAGATTAGGTTTGGTTAGTACATGTTTTCATGTCATTTTATGGTACCGAACAGACATGCATTCTAGTAAAAAAAAAATGTATGTGTGTATGTATAAGCAGTTCTAGAATTATATTAGCATCGGTATGTGAGATTACATTCTTAAAATGTTTTGTTAATATTTTGAAAGAAATAATGTGTATATTTTCCCAGGCTGAGCTTTGTTCTTTTAGACTGATCAATTTTTTTTTTTTCAAAACCTTGTATCATAGTTATATAGAGATTTAGTATAGGTATGAGTGAGCCAAAAATTTGTAAAAGAAAACTATAGTAGACTGTGATGACCTTGCAGTATTGGGTTCATATTTTTTGTTAGCTTATGCATTGGAGACAGATTTCAGTGGCCCTGTAATCCTTTGAAGCATAACCAGATTAATATTGAAATTAAATGTGTGAATTGCCCAAAATTATTGGATAAAATTAGAATAGGTAAAGCTACTCAGAAACTTTCAAATTAGGGCATTACCCATCATTATGATGACTTTTGCTCAAAGCTACCTAAAACTTGCAACAGCCTGTGATAAATGACAATCTGAAGTCCAACATGCTAGTGGTACATTGTGTAATGCATGAGCAATGTATACCTGTGGAAACCAACTACAGATAGTCCAGCTAGGATGTTGGTAACATAGTCTGTTTTATTATTATTAACATTTATTTCAAATTAACAAGTTGACCCTTGAAGCATTAATAGAAGTTTTCATAAACTTGCCTACCAGAAGCTGTTAGTCTTGAAAGATTATATATTTCTTCACCTGTGGTTGGCTGTTGTGACCTTGAATCATTTGGTTTTCTGGGAAAGGCTGAGAAACATTTACCACATATATTTTTAGCAAAGTAGAGCTTAGACAGGTTCCTTATTTCACAATGAATTGCCACTAAGGTCACAAGTTCCCTCTTGTTAGAATGTAACTAGTGAAAGTTTGGAATCCTAAGCTGCATCACTGAAGATGAGATGAATATGAATGTTGATGCTTGTGGGTGTACTAATATGAAGTAATTCTTGTTTGTAAAGGGTTTGCATATATTCTTTACAGGATCTGTTTTCAGAATATGTGAGCCAGAAATATTCAACTTCTCTATATCTGAAATGTCATTTATATCTTGAGTTAATATTTAAGGATTGCATGTAGCAGCTAGGTGCATCATTTACAATTATATCTTCCATAAATGTTAGTTTTCAAAGAATTCTCATGTTTGTTGCATCAGTAATGATGTTTCTGCTAGTCTAAATTGTGTTTTTGCTTGATTAGCTGTCCACTTTGGATAGCAAGGGTAGAATGAATATCATAACTCAGTGATGCCTGGATGGCCATGTCCACTGTGATTTTATTTTTCTTAATTTTGCTTATATATAGATAGCTCCACAAATGCTTAGCTGACTTTGATTTACAGAAAGATTTTTACATTTTTAAAATTCTTATTGCTATTTGTATTGACATATAATCCCAGTGTCAATAATTGTATTGGTAATGATGATAAAAAATAGCATTAAAATAATAGGGATATCAGGTGAGGTCAGGCAGTCCTACTAATTGGTTCCTTGGTGACTAAACACTTATGGAGCAAACAAATTTCACGAAACAAAACTGCAGTGAACAGTGCAATTACCTGGCGCTAATGGGTTGATACCCAGAAACTGGAGTATTGATGCTTTATCATTTCCTTTTTCTATTAAGAAAAAAAAAGTACTGTATTTAGGTTTGGAGAGGCATATGCTGTTGTATATGACTATTTATTATTTGAAATCAAACTTTTTTTTTTTTTTTTGCATTTCTCCAGCAATACGATTTTTTATAAAATTGAACATCCCTATGTAAATAACTGAGTATTGGGCTCTCAATGCTATCCTGTCATTTGGCTTCACCTTGCTAGCTTTATCTTTCAATTCATTTTTGGCTAAATACTTATGAAAATTGCCAGAAATGATGAAGGTAAAGTAGTCTTATGAAATGTATTATCAATATGCTGCTTGTTAAAGCATGTTAGATTTTTCTTTTCTTTTCTTTTCTTCAGCCAGAAAAAAGTATGATACTGTATAAGTAATTAATTCAAATACCAACTTTTTTCTCTGTATTTTATTTTAGGGGGATGTGACAGTTCATTTGTACCTATGATAAAGTGATCTACTAATATCTTCCTGATTTTCTTATTCATTTCACTCCTATGGTCATGGCTTAGGATTAGCACAAATTATCAAATCATGATTTTCATTTGAAAATTGGTTTCAAAACTGGCAGGTTCTGCTGATACAGAAATCTTGATTTTTTTATAACAGAATTTGTTATATTTGAAGGTTTATATATTTTATATATTTAGAAAACTTGATATGTGTGTGTACTAGTAGTGATAGTTGTAGCAGGTTCATTTTGATGTGTGTTTACTAGTAGTGATATATAACAGGTGCATTTTGCAAAACAGGCCTAGAGAAAATGCATATTGTTGTAATAGTGATCTTATTTTTATTATTGTTGTTGTTGTTATCATTATCATTATTATTATTATTATTATTATTATTATTATTATTATTATTGCTATTACTATTACTATTACTATTATTATTATTAAAATAACAGTAAAATAACATATATTTAATGCCTGTGAATAAAATTACTTCAGTTTTAGTTTAAGAAGAAGCAACAAATGAAACTTTCATATTTTGAAGGGGGATTTCTTCTCAGACAATCTTTAGAATACATGCTATTTTTATTCTGATGCCCAGTTTTGCAGACCTGATCTATTTCAGGCCATTAATAATTGGCTTTCTTTCAATTTATAATATGTTTTTCTTTTCTTTGCTACAAACAGGGTGACCAGTTACCATGGCTAGCCTGTTGCACTCTATGCAGCATGTCGGCGGCGGTCTGTGCCCACAGTAGGAGGCCGCCCTGGCAACATGATTCAAGGCAATTGTGTGTCCCTGACACGCATGCTGCAACACTGCAATCTTCCGTAAGTTTTAGAAAGGTTTGATCTCAGTGTTAAATGCTTTAAACGATAATTGTATCTGTTTGATTGCAGAAACTTGATACAGATGCTTATAGTGTATCAAGTTTACTCTCCTCTTTCTTTGAGGAAGTTTAATGCCTATATATTTAATGGCTTAGAAGATGACCTCTTTTTATCAGTATTTGTATTTGTTTTTCTCTAAAGCTTGACAGAATTCATCAAGAAAATGACATCATGGTTGGCCATGTCACACTTCGACGAAGGCTTCTGC